TCTTTATAATTATATTTCTTAAATTTTTATTATTTATTTTTGTACACAAAATGGCATTTATATTTTAATAACCCTGAAATAGGAAAAATTATTATTTTACTCGTACTGCTACGAAAAAATATATTTATGTGTGTGTGTCTATATATTTGTTAATGGATATAGGTAAAACTGTAGCAGTGTCGATGTTTTTTGTTAAATATTTTGCTAATTTTAGTGCTTTTTTCATTCTTTATTTTAGAAATTTTTTTTGTTTATGATTTTAAAATGTTTAAACAGCTACACGTACAAGCATTTTACGTGTAGTTTAGCATTGTTTATTGAAACTGTGCGTGACATTTTCTTTAGAATGTGAGATTAAATGCGCTGCGATTTTCTAATTCTACAAGGATTTTTACGTTTCTTGTTTGGCATTTTTGTTTTACTTTTTGGAAACTTTTATTTTTATTAAAAGATAATAGGTCATTAGAAATTGTAGACATTTTTACAAGGTTGCAATGAAAAAGATATTAAGAAATTAATACAAAGTTTTTTATTGTATTTTCAATAGACTTAATACACGTAAAGTTCATGGTCTTGTAAATGTTTTCATTTCAAAAAAGACACAGATGTTTAAATAAATTTTATTATGTTTTGTTTTTTACAACTAAATATTTACATGAAATTTAAAATTTGGTTGGTGTATTTAAGTAAAATTAATATTTATGTTAAAGTTAAAAATACGAGGGTTGAACGTATGTATATAAACTGCCTGAGGTATACATGTATTTTATTGAAAAAAATGCGGGTCAATCATAAAACGATTATTGATTCTAATTATGTCAAATTTCCACATAATAGATCCAGAATTATGTAAAACAAATTTTATGAGGATCGTTCCATAATTGATTTCATTCAGAAAATGTCTTAAACATTCTATACTGACTTGATAATAAGAAAACCGTTTAATAAATAAATAGCAGTATAAAGGTAAAATTTGACATAAACTGGTTTTATAGGAATCGGGACACAAAAACATTTAAAATATTTTTTCCAAAATTTTTATACCCACCATCAAAAAAAAGGGGAGTTTGATTTTGTCATTCCATGTGTAACACATCGAAATATTGTTCACAGATCCCATAAAGTATATAAATTCTTGGACCTCGTAAGATTCTAAGACGACCTAGCTATGTCCGTCCATCAGTCTGTTCATGGCACGATAGCGTGCACAAAAAAAGAGCTATTGAGATGAAATTTTCCCAAAATATTTCTTATTGATCAGAAATGTTTGCTATTGAAAATGGGCAAAATCGGTCAACGATTTCACATAGCCCCCATACAAATGTACCCCCCGAAATATTGTGTAAAAAGCTTCAAACATTCACAAATTCGTTGTTTATAAAGCAAATGACACAAAAATTCACATAAGTCAGTTTTTTGACCTCTGAAATAAAATTCTGAATTATGGCGGACATAGACCACAATTGGCCCTACCCCCCATTTAAGAACCCCTTTAGAAAATGACTTTAATGCTGATTACTGGCTTAAAAAAACGAATATGAAATCGACTTTTATAAGAATTGATCCATATATGTATAACCCTACTCCCTATATAAATTAATATTTTTAATTCGAAAGAGCACTGTCAATAGTTTCAAACCCACCATCAAACAGGTAGGAAAGCATTGCCTATGTGAAAAAATGGATCAATAAAACCATAATTTCAAATTTGCGACCTGTACATTGCGCACAAGGTTTACACGGACAGCCACGCTGACGGATAGAAGGACAGAGCTTAGTCCAGTCAGGAAATGATTCTAAACATGAATCGCTCCACGAAATGTTTTCCGGGTAGGCCCATAATTGGTCATAGCTCCCATATAAGATCCATTTCCGAAAATCACCTAAACGCATATATTTCATTGAATTCTAAAGCAATAGGGATAACATTCGACTAAATTTTTTTACGGATCGGTGCGTTAAAGTTCATAGCTCCCATATAAGGTCCATTTACAAAAATCACTTAAAAGCACATATTTCATTATCAAATAAAGCTATCTTGATAAAATTCGACACAAACATGTTTTGTCCAAACAGTAATCCCTATACGAAATTTTTCCCGAATATGCCCATAATGGGTCATAGCTCGCATATAAGGTCCACTTCCGAAAATCACTTAAACGCATATATTTCATTAAATTCTAAAGCTATAGGGATAAAATTCGAATTGAATATATTTTGTGTACATATAAATCATTCTACTACTTTTTTCCCGGATCGGTCCATTATTGGTCATAGCTCCCATATAAGGTCCTAAAAATTCTGAAAATCACATATATATTTCTTTGTCAAATAAAGTTATATTGAGAAAATTCGACACAAATATGTTTTGTCTTTATACGAATCACTCTAAGCCCTTAATTGCTCATAGCTCATAGTTCACTTCCCAAAATCACCTAAACGCACACATTTCGTTAATTAATAAAGCTATTGGAGTAAAAGTAGACTTGATATTTTTTTACATATAAATTATTATAAGAAATTGTTTCCTGATCGGTCCATAATTGGTCATAACTCCCATATAAGGATCATTTCCGAAAATTACTTAAACGCACATTGACAATCAAAGTTATAGGTATTTGACATAAATGTGTATTTTGTATATAAATCATTATACGGAATTTTTTCGGACCGGTACATAAGTTGTCTTAGCTTCCATATAAGTTTAACTACTGGAAATCAGTTAATACCACTTAATTCGTTATTAAATAATTATATCCGAATAAAATTCGACATGAGTATGTTCTGTGTATAGATAAATCATTCTATTGAAATGTTTTCGAACTGGCCTATTAATATAAATTTTTCTGGACCTAATCAAAATTAGTTCAACAAAAATTTTAGTAAATTATCTAAAAATTAGATAGTTAAATGGGCTTTAATAAAAAGCAGCTTGATCGTGGAGGGTATTTAAGATTCGACATAGCCGAATATAGCAATCTAACTTGTTTCTATTGAACTTCAGAAAGTATATTATTTATAACTTTTAATAATAAATCGAGCGCAGAGTAATTTGTCCGTTTGTAATCGATAAAATGTAGTTCAATTGGCTTCCTCTTAGTCACCTATAATCTGAAAGTAGGTCTAATCTGTATGGTCTAAAAACGCCTACAAACTCATAACTTATATTCTTTCAACATAAGATAAATGTGGTAGTCATCGTCAGTATAAAATAACATATTTTCATTATTTTTAGTTATGTTGTATCAACCTTCCACCATCTAAATATTTTATGTAGTGGACTGAATCACTTTGTCATTTTCTGTGCTAGTAGAAAAAAAAAATATATTTTAAGTATATCGATTCTTACTTTCCTAGAATTTCCTAGAATTATTAAAAATAGCTCTATTTTTGGGTATTTTTCTACTTTTTTAAAATATCAAAAAATTCTTTAAAACATGTCTAGTATAAAAACTTTAAACGATTATTAGAGTATAAACAAGTTAGAGTGCTATATTCGGCTGAGCCGAATCTTAAATACCCTCAACCAGCTACTTTTATATTAATACTTTTCTAATTGATGAAATATTTGTAGAAATAAGTTTTCTCATGTCTTAAATAGAAAAAAATCCCAAGATTTGAACAGCTTAAATCTATTACAATTCCAAGATTTATTGGACATTACAAACGCCAGTTTCTTTATATTTTTATAGCGTTAAGCGATATTTAGTAATTTGCATGTACGCATGTGTGTGAAAGATTTAAGGATTTTCAAAATTTATACATATAATTTTGTTCTACACAAATTGAAAATGCAACTAGTTAAATACACGGTTAAAGCGCTTTTAGGGGCAGGACCTAGTATGGGAGATATGACCAATTATAGCAAAATTTCTGTACATGAAAGCTATATTTCTGTCAAATTTTGTATCTATATCGTAATTTAGTAATAAGTAATGTGTGTTTATGTGTTTTTCTTAAGGGAGGCTTGCATGGGACCGACCGTATCCATGTTATGAACCGATCGTGAAAAAAAACTTGAAATATATATCTTAATTCAGTAATGAGTTATGTGCGTTTAAGTGATTTTCGGGAGGGCACCTTGTATGGGAGCTATGACCAATCCGATCCAAAAAGCTTTAATTGTAATATTTCTGCATATATAAGGGCAGTACTTGTACTAAAATTTTAAATGAATATCTTCATTTACTAATGAGTTATCTGGTTTTAAGTGATTTTCGGGAGGGGACCTTGTATGGGAGCTATGACCAATTATGAGCCGATCGGAAAAAAATTTCACAGTAATATTTTTGTGCATACGAGCAATACTTGTACCAAATTTTATATGGATATCTTAATTCAGTAATGAGTTATGTGCGTTTAAATGATTTTCGGGAGGGGACCTTGTATGGGAGCTATGTCCAATTATGGACCGATCCAGAAGATTTTTTCTCTGAATGAATTCTATTGACATAAGATTTTAATTTGTAAAATTTTGTGAAGATATCGACATTGTGACGGAAGTTATTAACAAAAAACCCATTTTCCGGGAATATGTACCGATTCCGCCAATTTTCAGCAGGCACTTGTGTAGAAACGAACGTGTGGTAATTTTCATGGAATTATCTTGCATAGTTTTCGAGAAAATTACATCAGAATGTGTAAAAAATGCCTATTTTTTGGAGGTTGTTTTAAATTTTGATTCATAACTTTTCCCGGCGTAAACTGATTTTGCTCATTTTCAATACCAAACAACTTAGGAAAATAAAGAAAATTTTGGGTGAATTTGGTAAAATTCTATTGCTTCGTTTTATCGTGAGCGTATTTTACACATACAGACGGATAGACGGACATAGCTAAATTGACTCAGAATTTGATAAGGACTCAGAGTATATATACTTTGTTGGGTCTCAGATGAATATTCTTCTGATGGTGGTGGAGGGTATAAAAACTCTTGTAATTCTGTTCGATAAAAAATTCGATATAATTTAAAAATATTTTTTAATATAAAAACAACATACTTTGCTGATTTTTCGGATCGTTTGCCATTTTTACCACGTTCGGTATTTCCATAATGCTGACGTACAATTTTCGAGCTTTTCATTTAAGTTTAAATATATATATATATATTTTTTATTTATAAATGCCTTTAGTTTAATGCTTTTGAAAATATAAAGCATTTAAAAGTGACATCAAATAAAATTTTTATCAATGGCATGTTTTTTAATTGGTTAATTTTTTTTTTTTTTGTATATCTTAGGGACTTTTAAACTTAATTTGAATTAGCTTTGTATAAGAAAATTTAAAATTTGTATTTTTTTTATTTATTTCCGTTTTCTTTAAACATCTCACACTTTTGCCACTTTTTCATTTATAACGATTTTTGTATTTACAAATTTGCTTTTATTTTATTTACGCGTTTTTATTGCTGTTGTTTAAATACAAACAATAATTGACATTTAGTATTTTACGGATATAAGAAAGTAAAATTTATTTTTTTCTTTGTTCTTTGAAAGTTTTGCCGAACTTGAAGTACTTTTTAATACACTCATACTCTTCTTAGACTAAACGAATGACGGACTAAAATTCAACTGACCAACAAACCGACCGACGTAATCATCTTGTCTGTAAAATCGTTAATATTTTTCGGTTTTTTCTGCTTATTTTTTTGTCTATTCTATTTGTTTAAAGCGTTGGTGGCTGCGAATTTCATTGCCAGTCAGTTTTGTACTACAACATTTAATACTCGAGGCATCAATGTGAGACCAACTACTAAACGAAAATTTATCATGAAAGAAAATCTCTATTATAGTGGAAATCTATGAAATGTTTTTTGTTCTAATATTATTAAACGAAATAGAATAAAACAATGTGCCATAAGGCATCAACCCAATAAAAACACACAGTATACAAAATTAAAAGGCCTGACGGAGAATGTTTTTTGAAAACTGTTGTTTTTTTTGCGATTGAAGAAAGAAAAATTCACGTTGAAAACAACAAATCATCATTTGCAAATGGACTCGTCGTTGGGGAGCATGGCAAAAAATTTATATATATTTTCTCACAATACAAATTTTTCAAAAAAAAAAAAGTAAAATTACTCAGTTGTCGAAATTCAAAATGATTTTCATTTATTAGAGTACATTGTTTGTTGATTTTTCAAAATGAAAATTCAAAAATCATTTCCATAAAATTTATGAAAAATGTATTTTCATACAGGAAAGGTCAGTGATTCTTAAACATACTATGTATACATATATTTCATTTTTAATTGCCGACCAACCAAATAATATCCGGCAATTTAAACAATTAGCAATGAATTAAAAATGTATACATATTGTTCATTTATGAATAGACTGTCATATTTCAAAACTAAAGTTTTGAATAAAAAAATTGCAGTAAATTGTTTCTTATATCATTCCTTAAAATTGAAGCGTTATTATGAATCGATCTAACTAATAAATATAATTTCAAACATATTAACCTTTAACGTCTAGTTAACGAAAATTATGTGTTTTGATCAAGAGGTGATCTTCGAAATATTCGTTTGGATTAATTATGAACCGAGCTCCGTCAAATAAAAACAAGTAAGAAACTGTGGTCGGGTGTGCCTGACCTTATGATACCCTACACCAATTGCGAGTATTGAATGTGATTCATTATAAATAATAAAGCATTTATGTTGAATCTAACATAGATTCCAAATAATGTCTGTTCATGTACGGTTGTATGCTGACTAGGAGAAATAAAAGACCCAATTTCAATAATTTCGTCGTTGGATCCAAAGAAGAATGTGTGACAAATTTTAACAAATTATATTGAAAATTGCGAGCTGTAGCGTGCACGGTCATAAAGACAGACATAGCTTAATCGAATCAGAAAGTGATTCTGAATCGACTGATATACTTAAGGACAAATACTTTTGAGTGTTTTGATAGATAGTAGTATATGAGACGTAGTTAAGAGATAAAAGGCCAAGTCGGAAGGTCCGGTTATTGTTGTGAACTATGTTTATATAAAACTAATTTCTGCCAGATTTCATTGTGATACTACGGACATGTCTGAGTGCTTAATGTCGGGATTTATGTTTATATAAAACTTATTTGTGCCAAATTTCATAGTGATACTAGAGTTTATAAGTGAACTGTGGACTATAAAATAATTTTCTGAAGAAGACTTTCTATGGGAGCTAGGGTCAAATGAGGCCCGATCGTTACTAAAATTTACAGTGTTATTTAGGAATATATCAAATATTGTAGTGACAATTTTTGGGAAGATACCAGTGTTTATAAGTGAATTGTGGACATTCAAGTCATTTTCTAAGGGGGACTTTTTACAAAAGTCGATAGAATTATTTAAACTTATATAAAACTTAATCGACTCAGGAGTGATTCTGAGCCGATTGGTATACTTAAGGTATACCAATATTTTTGTGTTTTACAAACATCAGCACAAAAGCATAATACCCTCCCCACTAGTGGTGTAGTTTATAATTATAAGATTCATAAATTATTCTGGATCTGCCAAAATTAGTATGTATTTATTTCTAAAGAAATTACTAAATGATTTCTAAATCATAGTGCAATTTATAAAATATCTAAAAATTGAATATTTAAATAATTTTTGATAAAATGTAGCATGTAGGGTATTGAAGTTTCTACGTAGACGAATATAACACTCTAACTTGTTCATTTTACAACTGCATACTAATGGATTATACGTTATAATCTTTCAATGATATACATATGTATGTAAGTAAAATAAAATCACTGGGTTTTTAAACAAATAGAAACAGAACAACATCATCATCAACAAGTAACAATTTTCAAAGCAATCATTTTTATTTTACTACGTGTCAATAACATGTCTCATAAAAATACCAAAGTAAAAATCAAATATTTATTTAAATTTACATTAATACTCAAAATATTGTAATTTGGAAACTTTTGAGAAAAAAAATATGTTTGTTTTACGAGTGTGTGATCAATTAATTAAGATTTATTTGAATATGTTCGGTGTACATGACGTAGACATCTGTTTATTATTTGCTTATTTATAAAAATGTATATTTTTATTTGTTTGATTTTTTGGTTTTTCTCTTCTTTGTATCTACATATGTATTTATTATACATGTATATTTTTATTGTTTGTTTAAGGTTAAAGACACAATGTATCTTTATGAGATTTCGACTGACCACTTACTATAAACATTTTTAAATTTGTTGATATGAAATATTTAATTGTATTTTTAATTTATTGTTTTCTTTAATTTTGCAAAATTATCTGTATTAGTGACGAACCATTTGAAGTGTCACTTTGGATTACTTTATCTTGAATATATTGAAAAATTGAAAATTGTGTCATGCGGTTTTTCCGTTAATAGTACGCAATTTATTTGTTTGCTTAAGATTAAGAGAAAATATTTAAGACATACATATTTAAAGATTTTAAATTTTTTTCAATAATTCTTTGCAATATGAAACAAATAAAATTATTTTATTCAGCTATATCGAATCGTATAAACCCACTATATAATCACAAAAAAAATATATTGAAATTAAATTTTCCCAAAATATTTATAATTAATCAGAAATGTTTGGTATTGAAAATGGGCAAAATTGGTCAACGTTTTCACATAGCCCCAATACAAATGTACTCCCGGAGTATTGTGTAAAAAGTTGATCCTACCCCACATATAAGGTCTCCTTCAGAAAATGACTTTAACGCTCATTATTGGCGTAAAAATACGAGCCAACATCTTAACACCAAATTTTATGTGGATCAGTTCATAATTGACCCTACCCCACATATAAGACCCCCTTCAGAAATGACTTTAACGCTCATTTCTGGCGTAAAAAAACGAGTATAGCGATGCAATTTGACATAAGCAAGTATCTTATGAGTCAAAACCTTTCCACCAAATTTTATGTGGATCGGTCCATAATTGACTTTTCCCCCATAAAAGGTCCCCTCCGTAAAATTACTTTAACGCTCGTTACTGGCTTAGAAATACGAGTACAGCGATGAAATTTAATAGAAGCAAGTTTTATTTGATGCAAATTATAAGTGGATCAGGCCTTAATTGGCCCTACCCCCAAATAAGGTCCCCATCGGAAAATTAGTTTAAGGCCCATTACTGGCTTAAATATACTACTATTGCAAATGAAATTCGACTCAAGTAAGTTCTTAGAGCGCCAAAATTTCTTAACCAAATTTTATGTGGATCGGACCTTAATTGACCCTACCCCGCATATAAAGACCCCATCAGAAAATTACTTTAACGATCATTTCTGGCGTAAAAAACGAGTAAAGCGATTATATATATAAACATGACTTGTATGAACCAAGATCATTCGACAAAATTTTACTACGATCGGTCTATAATTGACCCTACCCCCATATGAGGCCCCTTCAGAAAATGACTTTAAAACTCAGTACTGGCTTAAAAATGCTAGTAGATCTATAACATTTGACATAAACTAGTTTTGTATGAGCTAACATCACTCTACAAAATTTTCTGGGGATCAGTTCATAATTGACCCTAAACCTATTTAAGGTCGCCATCAGATAATTATTTTAACTCTCATTGCTGGCTTCAAAATACGAGTACAGTGATGAAATTCGACACTAATAAGTTCCATAGGAACCGAAATCTCTCTTTCAATTTTTATGAGGATCAGTCTATAATAACCTCATATAAATTCCCCCACAGAAATGACTACAACGCGAAAAATACAAATACCGCAATGCAATTCGACATAGACTAATTTTGAGCTAAAATCTCTCTACCATATTTTAACCCCGTATAAGGTCCCTTTAAGAAAATGACGTTAATGCTCATTACTAGCTTAAAAAATACAAGTAAATCTATGAAATTTTAAATAAATAAGGAACTGAATTCTACCTTAGTGGAAAGTACTAATGAAAATAGTACAATTTTTTCCCTTTTCGCTTAGAAATATACTTTTTTGAGAATTAAGTTTACAAAATGTTCCGTACTTATGTAAAACTATATATCACAGATAAAACTCAAATGATTCAAATCTGCTTTCATTTGTTCCAGAAAATAGTGCTTTCAAAAAGTACCAAACAATTTACTCGAATTTGGTCCTATATATTTCTTAGTACTCGAATTAAAAAATACCAACAGCTTATTTTGTATGAGTAAATAAACTACTTTTTAAAATTTTATAAAAATTGGCTCAATTAGTTTGAATAAAATTAAATTTCCAGCTTTTCCCTTTTTGGTACTTTTTTCCCCAGTGAAATAGCAAACATTTTATTACAATAAATATTACAGAGTTAGTCCGTAATTTAAAAGGAATAATTCAATAAACCGAAAAAGTTTTTTTAATTGGCTAAAACAAAGTACCATAAATACATTTTTCTCCCTTTAACACCCAAAAAGGACTGAATATTAAAAAAGTACGAAACTCATAATTTTGGGAGATGTATCCAAAATATTTATAAAAATTTTATTATGTTAATTAGTTCAAAAGTTATAAAGGGCCAAAAAAGGTACCAAAATTACAATTGTTACACATTTTTACCCCATAAAAGTACGAATTTCAAAAAAGTACCAGACACCCATCTGCTCATTTTAAGAGTAGATACAGGTGCATTTAAAATTTATCTTGTGTAAGATAATTAAGAAAATCTGTTTTACCCGTTTTTCCCTTTTTTACCCGTAAATGTACAAATTTTTAAAAATCCCTCCTTTGTGGATCTCTTTTATATATAGATAACCCTATTCTCATTAATATCG